TGCAGATTCTCAACTGCGTATTGTCATCGCTGCGTCACTGGCCTGGCATAGTGACCGCTCCATCTCATTAACCTGGCGTGGAGACCACTCTACGGCCCTGGCCTAGATAGTGACCTCACCACCTTCGTGACCCGGTGTAGTGACCAGACGGTGTCCCTGGCCCGGGTAGTGACCACACAGTCTTCCTGACGTGACGTAATGACCAGACGGTGTCCCTGCTCTGGCCCGGGGAGGGACGGCGCTGTCTCTCTGACCTGGCGGAGTGACCAGACGGTGTCCCTGCTCTGGCCCGGGGAGGGACGGCGCCGTCTCTCTGACCTGGCGGAGTGACCAGACGGTGTCCCTGCTCTGGCCCAGGGAGTGACCAGGCTGTGTCCCGTGTCTCCGGCAGGTGGGAAACCCGCGAGTGGAGCTGACTCTCTCGGAGCTGCAGGAGATGGCCACCAGGCAGCAGCAGCAGATTGAAGCCCAACAGCAGATGCTTGTCGCCAAGGTAGGCAGAAATAAAGAGAAGCAAAGTGTACATACAGCATGTGATCTATAGATCTATATATGTTATATATACTGTATGCACACTGCGTTTGAATGAGGGATTCAATGGGAAAGCCATACCAGGGTGTGAAGTGGATGGATTCTGCACAAGGCTGTGTTTGGGTAAAGTGGGGTGCTGTGTCTAGGGCTCTGGTTTATTTCCATCTGAGGAGTAATCGCCAAACCCTGTGTTTCCACTGAGCATCAGAGTGCTGCTGCTTCCTGTCTAGCACAACTGGGGCAGCTGGCGCTGGCCGAACCTCCAGTCCTGATTGCACAGGGGGAGGGGGGGGGCTGCACAGCCCTTAGGTGATGAAACGGTTTACAAAACATAAAAGAGAAACAGCTTGTTGTTTTATTTTTCCCTGGATGTTTGTACAGCTGGTGTAAGATCATATACAGTGTGAGCCCCTTGGGGACACGCCAGCAGGTTGATCTGGTGCGTGTCGGCCGCGGGCTCCAGGCCTGGATCTCCTCTGTGCCCTCCGGGGGGGGTGGGGGGCTGCCGATCGTGTCGTGGTGGCAGTGAGGGTGACTACCAGCTAGCATGAGGTCAGCGTGCGAAGGGTGGGGCTGCTCTGGCCCCAGAGTTTGTTTTCCAAGGGAAGTTAAGTCAGGGAGTGCTGGGGTCCGTGGCTTCAGCAACACAACAGGAGGAAGGGAGCCAAGCAGCAGGAAATGAGATACGGGGGAGGGCAGCAGCTGCAGGGAGGGAGGGGTGCGGCCACTGGCCGGACAAGGACATGCAGTCCTGAAGGGAGGTGGACCGGACCCAGAGCCAGACTCTGCTAGAGGTGCCGTCCCCCCCCTGGAGCACCAGTCTGCACCGAGACTGTTCCCGGGAGCATTGTGGAGATGAAAGAAGTCTGAGCTACTACTAAAACCCCTGGAGTATTTTTGCCATCCATTTTTGGGGGGTTCTGCTCCTTTTTTTCCACTTTGGATTCCAGACACGGCTTTGAACCTTTTTATTATTACTAGTTTTCGGGACCGAGGTCAGTAAACGCCAAAGCGTCGGAACAAGTCATATAGGCAGAAGGTAAATTTTTACTTTTTTTAATGCAAAGCAAATGAAAGAAATAACAAGAAATGGCTCTGTAGCTATAGAGTTTAGAGTTTGTAGCCGTAGAGCGTACTTCATATATGAGATTATCAACAGGTTTTTAACGAAGACAATGATAGAGACTTTTGTTTTAACTAGTGTACTGTATGTATAAATTGGTTCTGCTTAGAGCTGGCGGGGCGCCCTGTGGGTATTCCTTTCCCAGTGCTCTGTTCCGAGTGGGGAACCTCCTTCGGCTTCTCCACCTCGTCCGTATGTCCTGTCTAGTGTGGATTTCCTTCCAAGCTTTCATTGACAGGCTGTATAAACGGGAGCACACCACTCAGTAAACTGCTCCATACTGGATTTTCCCTTTCCTTGGTTTGGATCTTCACTTTTACCGTGTCCCGAGCTGCTGGTTAAGAATGACAAGTTCTCTTGATGGAAATAAGGTG